TTTCGTCGCGCTGCTGATGACGTCAGGTACGCGCTTTCCTCGAGCGCGCTTTTGTCGTCCGCGGTTTTGACGGGTCACGATATTTTCGAGAAACCAATGCAATGGTTTGTTCAGAGCTTGGGAAAGATTCAAGAGATGCTTTGAAAACAATTATCTATACACTTTTCAATTATCTGGAAGGGGAAGAACTAGCTGATCAGTTCACAAAAAAACAAATGAGAAAGTCTCCATCCAAACAAACCAAAAGATAAATTTGGTTCTAAAGTGGAACTTGTTTGAGATTGCGAGAACCTCATCTTTCACCTTTTCGGCAAATCAGGCTTAGAAATGCTCAGTGGGAAACTTGCTTTCAGCTGAATTTGGGGAAACTGATGTTTCCTGATCCCATCCTATTCTATATTTTCAAAGATCCATCCATCTCAGAGCCTTGAGTCACACTCTTGAAAAGAAAGCTGTGCTGATAATCTAAGGAGGAGTAGAACAACAACAGGAAGTGCAGTTATGAAACTAACTCAGCGGTGCTCCACGGACACTTTACCAGCATGAAGAGGTCTAAGCTGAGTAATAGCTTAGAAAACAAGGCCAATCCATGGATCTTAGTTAAGCAAAAGAGAAACTAAGATGCCTTATTAATTAGGTATGATCATGGCCAGAAGGATGATTAGCCTATATATATGCACATTTATGGAGATTTGCATATTTTTGCCTCTTATTTCATATATATATATATATATGGGATAAACCTTCCATAATCTGGAACCTCCAGACTTATCATGATACTACATTTCCCGGAATTTTGGTTGACAGATCTATGCCAAGTGGTGGGAACCCTGGAAGCTATAGTCTCCATAAAATTTGGGGGGGGGGGGTGCAAGTTCAGAAAAGGTAGCCCAAGCAAAACCCAAATACGACATGTTATTTGTCCCAGTAGCTGAGGTGGAACTGTTTACTTCGGCAATCCAGGTTGTAATATCTCAGGAATGGAAGCCGAGACATCTGGCAGACTTTCGTTTCTTTTAAGGCAGGGGTCAGCAACCTTAAAACACTCCAAGAGCTACAAAGGTCCTAACTGGAAGTCCAGTTCCCCCACCAGATTCTCCTCCTAGCACGGCGTCCTTTTTCCTCTACCTATCCTGACTGAAAGCTCTATCGATTGTGGAGCTGACTGGCGACAGGGAGCCGCAGCAGAGGGATGAAAGAGCCACATGCAGCTCCAGAGCCACAGGTTGCTGACCCCTGCACCACAAATTAGAAGAGATGTTTGCGAAGCAGCCTTGAACTGAAGAACCCTTTAAAGGATGTAAATAAGAATGAGAAAGGCCCAGATAGAGATGAGGAGGAAGGAAGAGAAGACTTGTTGTTAAATATCTAATCATGCCAAGGGCACTTTTTCCCTTAAAGGACTTAAGGGGGAAGCAGAGAGAAGGAAGTACTTTCAAAACAATGCCCAACCCCCAAATTGATATCAGGGACCTTTCTCTGTGATTCAGCTTATCAGGAGCCATAGTGCCAGTTGGCTAGCACCAATTCTACCTCTTCTACAGTTCCACTATTACTCACTTTGTGCCAATGGCTGAGAATTTCTCCTTTTTGCCTCCAAATGATATCCCATTCTGTGTCTTTGCTTACTGTTGGTTTTAAATGCATTTTGCCACTTCTAACAGGGAAGCCTTTGACCTTCCCATTCCCCCCACCAGTCTGGCCTGGGGTTTTCATTGGGCTGGTCTTCTACCTGTTACTCTTTTAACTATTTGCAAGTACATTGTCCGATGCTGAGCACCTGACAGCCCAGCCCAGCTCTCTGTTCTACTGACGGAATCCATCATATCTTCCCCAATCTAGATGCCCTTCCGATGTGTTAGATGACTGTTCCCATCATCTGTAGCCAAATGGTCCAATGTGTAAGTCCTAGGTTGGGGAAGACTGGTCTAGCAGCCACAAAATATACATTTAGCGTCAGTAATTCTTATTATCGACTGGGATTGTTCACTGAATCATAAAGTCTACTTGGACATCAATTATAGCCCTAGAGTCTTATAGTCCAGAGTATCTGTCATCATAACATTTGGGGGGGAAACATACAAAATCAACCCAGTTTTTTCTTTTTCAGAGCTTTAAAGCTCAACAATTACATCCTTGTCAAAGCTCCTGCAATCAACAGGATGGGAAGGCCAATAAATTCTTGTGAAGATGTCATGGAATTATTTTGGAGGCGAAGATGTTTCTAACATCTGGATACTTTGGTTCAGGACCAAGTTCTGTGGTGCACCAAAAAAAAATGAGTTGACGTATTTTTAAAACTTGTGAAAAACTTGGTTTGTTCGATAGTTTTCTGATCTTCACATCTTCACAGATTTTTGTTACCAGTATCCTTAAGGAAATTAGGATGTGAAGGACTTTGGGAGATATCAAAGATAATTGGATTTCAAAAGATTCAGAAATTTCAAGAGGAAACCAAGAATCGTGAGTCTCCTTTCTTGATCAATTGATTTTCTTTCTTTAAACATTTCAGAAAGTGGAAACAGGGCTGAACTGTGGGGAAGCATTCACTCTTTTTCGTTTCTAATCAAAAGGTCTCCGTGTATAGTCAACCATTACAATTTAAAATGTCCAAATAAGAAAGAACAGGGACTGGACTGATTGGATCACTTCCATCATTAGATTTTGGGTCTGTTCCTTTATGAAATAATTAATAAAGGAATTAATGGAGGCAGGGGAAAAAAAACAGACTGGCAATTTAGTGTCATTGTTGGCTATTTTACATGATTTCACCAGCACTGCACTTATATTCCCCCAGTCACTTGAAAATAAGGGGGAAAAACATCCTTGGGGGATGCAAATAGCACATCTTGTTAAGTAAAAATAGCAACACTTTGAACTCAGACCTTTGTAGAACTGAGAAGGTGACTGGAGAGGCGGAGTCAAGGTGTCCAGGTGAGAATGATGGGAAAAGGCAGTCCTGATTGGCTGTACAGTTGAGGGAGGGGCTTGGCAAGGGCCTCTTACATAACCGAGCAGCATTTACAACGCTGTTTCTTCGCGTCAAGATCCTGGTCTGCTCCTTTGGGGTCCGTGTCATTGGCCGATGGCTGTGCTCCAACTTGGTTTTCCTCCTTCTGAGTCAAGGGTTCCATCGCGCTGCCATTAGGTGGGGCGTGATCTGCTGTGTGGTCTCCCGCTTGTTTATTCTCAGCATCTTCTATCACCACCAGTTCGGCCTTGATTTGCTCTCCTTCCAGCCCCAGCACTTTTTTGGTCTCATTCTCGTCTTCCACATTCTGGTAGCCCATGAAGATCATGGTGACGGGTTGTTCTTTGCTAGGCTCTGGCCCGTCACCCGCAAGCTTTGGGCTCTCCATTGGTTTAGCCTGCACACCTGTGATTTCCTTCCGGGGAGTGACCTTCTGGCTTGGGAGATTGCTTTGGGCCTCTTTGGCAGCCTTCTCAGAGACTTCACTCAGGGTCACTTCGTCGGCTTTATGGATGAGCTCATCCACTTCGGATGAGCTGAGCTGGTGGACACCATTCTCAATAGCTCCATCTTCGGTACGGACTGCATGGACCACTGCAAGAGAAGATAGAGAAGATGCACAATGAGAAGCTTGACCAGATCTTCACTGTTGCTTTCAAAAACGACTTAGGGGCAGATATCATTGTTTCTTGTGGTGGAATGTAGACTACTGTTGTGGGAGGGAGGAAGCGACAACATAGCTCGGGGTCTTTGATATGTAAGAAGAGGGTGAAGGTGAACCCCCACCTAGCAATTCATAGAACACATCTTGTATGCAGGTAGTTGATTAATTTGGCAAGATTAATGTCAAGCCCATAGAACCAAGAAAGAACCAAGGAGCTAGTTCAGAGTACTTTCCTCATCATTGTTCACCTATAGACCGAAATCTTGCTAGACTAAATCAATTCTCTCCCTAACTATCACCATATGAAGTGCTAGGGGGGTGTCCGCCTTCGTCCTCTTCCTGTATACCAAAGATTTTAAGCTTCATTGTCTCTGGGAAAAAGCCCCTCTTTCCCGCAACTCTGGGCTACATTCGACTACATTTCTACTCCCAAAGGTGCTTTTAAAAAGGCAACTAGACTTTTTTTTGAAGGAAAAGGGAAAACAAGTATAGTTGGGTTTTGACAAACACCTTTGAATGACTGGGAATCTCCACAGCATCTTAAGAGATGCTGAAGTGGCACTAGAGACTCAAAAATGCCAAGAATTTGTCCTTTAAAGCAGAATGGGTTTTTATTTTGCAGGGGTTTGATAAATCTCATAGACCTTTGACAGAACAACGATTAAGCACCTCAAATACCAACCACACCTACCTGTTCTTTACTCAAGTGTTTTGGTTCTCTCTGTGTGTATACTAATAGCAGGCCAGTTCCCAAGAAATTCAATGAAAAGAACCTTCACTTTTCTTTTCTTTTCTTTTTCTTTTTAAAAAATATTTAAACATTTTATTTTCCATTAAACAGTGTGTCATCCAGGTCCAAATGACTGCAATTACAGTCAAAATTTACAGTATTCGTTATATTGATAATAATCTCTAATTTTATAATAATAAAAATCAGCATTATAGCTCTATTCATCTCTCCCTCTTAACATATATACTAATAAAATATAATAATTCTATTCAATATAATAATCTTAACAATCATATTAGTAAGAATCATCATATTGTTTACCTTCCTATCTTAACATGTATTATTTCACTGATCTCCATTTATTTCTCACTTTTTTGTTTTTATTCTCCAACCATCCATAAACTAGCACCCATGTCATATAATATAGTTTGTTCTTTCTCCTTTATTGCAAGTGTTAGTCTGTTCATTTCTGCACATTCTAATATTTTCCTAATCACATTCTCATCGGTAGGGATCTCATCCATTTTCCAGTTTTGTGCAAATACAATTCTAGCTGTAGTTCATACATGTATAATTAAATATACATTTACTTTATACTGTAAGTTTCACACCTTCACTTTTCCTTAGGACTGTAACCCGCCCGAATGGTATGAATGTTGTGTTTTAATTATGTATTGTCTTATATGTTAAAAGTTTGTCTCCCCCCTCCCCCTTTTGGGTTGTGAGCCGCCCTGAGTCCCCCCAGGGAAAAGGGCGGCATATAAATAAACTTCTACAATCTACAATCTTAAGAGATGAGAATGTGAAAATGGGGGTGATCATGGGAGGCCGAAAAGGATGTATGAATGTTCTGTCTTCCATTATATTCATGGCAGTCTGCAAGCTCTCTGGCTTCCTGTTTGGAGTGGTTCGACAGAACCTCTAGCTAAGATTCTGTGCAGTTCAGAGAACCTGCAAATCCCACCCCTGGCTGGCCCCGCCCAGCACTCCCCATTCCCCTCCCAGGTGTCCCCACGTGGCCCATTTTGGACGCAGGTAAGTGCAGGGTGTGTGTGGAGACTCAGGGGGACGGGACTGGGCCTTCTGGAAGTTCCGGAAGGCCAAAAACAGGCCTGTTTCCAGCCTCCAGAGCCTGGGGAGGCTGTTTTCTCCTTCATGGAGGCTCAAGGAAAGCCTCCAGAGCCCAGGGAGGGCAAAAAACGCACCCCCCCATGGTGCAGGAGGCTGACTAGGGCCATGGCCACTATGGCCACGCCCACCCAGCAACCGGGCGGAGAACCCCTTGCTAAAATTTTTGAAGCCCACCCCCCCCATCCTCCTTGTTATTCAATCCAAAGTGAGCAACATCTTCTGTGTGTCTCTTTCAGAGTTTTTCTCTTGAGAAACGGTTGGAGATTCCCTCCTCCCCCCAGATAAATTCGGGGGGCGGGGGGGGACGGAAGCAAGCATCCATCCACAGATTTGGGGGAAGATTTACAAAAGCCACTTATACCCAGCTATTATAAATATACTTTTTTTTTTTAGGTGCACAAAAGTGGATGTTGAATTTGGGCAGAAAAAGCAAAAGCAGTAAGTGGAGGAAATGAGCGGGTCAAAACAATTCTAGGGATTTTTTTCCCAACCACGACTGCCCTTCTTATCCATTCCTTGACCTGCACTTTCATAATAAATAAACAACAATCCCCTTGCATGATTCTGTTCTCCACGCTGGAATGGGAGATAAGAAAAGGAAGGAACATTTTGGGGAGGGCTTACAGTGTTTCTGGCAGAAAATGTAAAAAGTGACTTAAGTTTTTTAAACTGATAAAGGGGAAAAAAAGGGGAAAAGTGCTCGTTATTTGAACATAACTCCCACTTATGATCACACAATGCCCTAGAATTGATTGTTTTCTTCCCAGATTTTTTTGAACTGTCCACCATAGAGCCCAGTGATGGAGAACTTTTTCAGTGCCCAAACTGGAATGTACGTACATGCACCTGCGCCAGAGCGCTGGAAAGCCGAAGGCCAGCTGGCTGGAGAGCACATGCCTGTTTTTTGGCCGGTTTTCAGGCCGTTCTTTGGGCCATTTTTAGACTTTTTTTCAGGACGTTTTCAGGCCATTTTCAGGCCGTTTTTTGTTTTTCTGCCAGAGCGCCAAAAGCAGCCTAAAAACAGCATGCAAAATGGCTAAAAACAGCCAGAAAATGGTGTGAAAACAGCCCAGAAATGGCCTGAAAAACAGCCAAAACCAGCCTGTTTTTTAAGCCATTTTTGGCCATTTTGCATGCTGTTTTTAGGCTGCTTTTGGCGCTCTGGCAGAAAAAGAAAAAACGGCCTGAA